TTTATTATCAAAATATTAAATGTATCGATTTAGTTTTACACCAATGTAAAGAATATGATAGAACAAGTTAAATTTATTTACTGTACACAAAACTCCAAATCACAGAGCTCCAAATTTTAAAATATGAGCCGCGAGTGGGGAAGACACAAGAATATTGCATTTGGAACATACTGTACTTCACAACAAAATGTTCGTGAAATCAATTTGGCTGGCCTATTCGCATCTGGCCTATCCACATCAATAGCAACAACTTCTATTACAGACTAGGCCTGGAAGGTTACATACAATTGGCTGGTGTAGTTACAGAAACTGTAGGCCTATGCTGACAAAATTTCCTTTCTTACCATGAGTGATGAGATATTGCAAGAATTTTTATCAATGATTCCTGTATCTGTATCATCATGTACAAACACCAGAAGCCTGGTTGTCGCGTATGTCGGTCAGGTTGAGGTGTGTAACAATTAAATATTGTAATGAGCTTTAGTCGTTAATTTATGAATATTAATGAGTCCAAAACAGCTTTAAATTATTTTATATTAGGTGACATCCGAATATTCTCACTCAAGCAATTCCTGTATCTATAGCATCAAAATACCCAGGGTAGTCTTCAGTCCCTAATCGACCACAGAGTGCGAATGGGATGACCCTTCTGTCCAATTTCTTTAGCCTGTTACACCTACCAAATGAATCCATCGATATCCAACATGTCAACATTTCCTATTAGAGAAATTCAATTAGAAAGTTAAAACAGACCAGTTAAAAAATTTAGAGTGACTATTCTTACACCATTCAAAAATAATTAGAATTGATATTACAATATCTTTATAATATTAGGAAATAGTCCTGGCACTAATCATCAATGATAATTTTTATTGAAAATATATATTAATTAACCATCACAGTGAAAAGCCCATATTCAAATGCATTGCAAAGTTGTATAACAATAGCCATGACCTAAAATATTATTCTGAATAGAATTAACTATTTCATTAATATAGAACTTTTTTACAAATAATATAAAAATAAAAATTAGTTAAAAAGTTACAGATGAAGACAATTACAATTTAAACATGTATAGCACATATGTATGACTCGAGTGTGTGCAGGCAATTTATCCTCCTCGGAAAATAAAGGCCGATTTCCGAGCAGAATTTGTCGAAAATTAGTTTGGAACTAATCTGAATATATAACCAGTGCATCATACAGAAGTTAAGTTCTGTGCACCATTTTCCTAACCATTTTCTGCGCAAATTTGAGCTAGTTTTTGAGGTATCATCATCCACATTCCACGACGAATAAACTGGCATTTTAATAGGGCCAGCCTGGCCTAACTAGCCAGGCCTAAGCAGCCTTCCAATAGATATTTCCATGGATCAATCATTAACATGTAAATTACTGTACTTTATTCAAAATAGTGTTGTTCGTCTAATGTTTGAAATTATAGTTTTTATGACTAAATTAGGGGTCTAGGCCTACATCGCGCCATGCAGTAGAGTACTGAGTAGCATTCCGCTATACATGATACAGTACTGCATATATGCTAGGCTATGCCTAACTAAGCCTACACAGGTAAGACAAGTTGGTAACAAACCTATTTAACGCCATTTCTAAGACCACTACTTCCAAGACTTCCATATTCCAACCGGCAAACGTATTTGTTTGAAAGATTCATTCTTCAAAAATGCAATCGACTTATTATATTATTATAATTATTAAATGTTTTCGCCAATCCCGATTTTTCAATTTTCCGCTCGCGAAGCCCATTCTCATCATCAGTTGGCTGTGTTAACATCTCCTTACGGTTGAGTAAATCAGCTGACTCCCTGTCTAGTGCAAAATTCACGAAACAAAAACTGGGGCAAACTGTTATTTTACACATAATTGAGACATTTTCATAAGTGAAAACCCATAAAAATGAAAAGAACGGCCAAATTTACGTTGGAATATCTAAAGTTTGACACAATTTTGTTGTGGGGTTACCGAATGCAAGCATTTGAAGTCGGTCCATTTTAGGAAATTCCCTATCTTTTAACACTAGCTAAAAATCCTGTAGCACCACTTCGTTTTTGGGACCCAGTTCACGAGCCTCGTTTTCGAATACCGTGCTCCAAATTCAAGTGACATCACGTTCTTTGTGGTCCCCCATCCCTCTATTTTATATTAAACATTAATTATTTCAAACCCGCACTTGGCCTTTAACACAAGATACATAAATAAGCTAGGTTTCTTTATGAAATTTAGGGAGTGGAGTTATTTTAATGTTCATCATATGAAAATATCCTGGTGTTTTGACCCATGACCCTGGAATTGGAAGGCAAGTATCAAGCTACAGCTTCACTTGCATTCAGCATGTTCAGGAAAATCTTATGCGAGTCGCAAGAATCTCATAGAAATCCAGAAGACCTTGCATGAGCAAGCAAGAATGTCACAGAAAATAACCCATCTCCCACAATTCATGATATATGCATTTTACTATGTTTTATCACTTGTCGCTCAACTGGATAAGGAATGGCTTCATTCAGATTTAGAATCTGAGTACATCCCTGCCTTGAATCCGCTATAGTGAAGTATTAACATAGTTAACACAATTTAGTATATTTATTACTACATTACTTCCAGAAACCTCTGATGATGAATACCGTGAGCTGTTGAAGGATATATCAGAATGGTATGATCGAAATAACTGTATCAGTATGCTGAAAGTATTGTACCGAGATCATGTGACTGATGCTACTACACTGCATAATGCTACTAAAATGCGCGACTTGCTGGACAACTTGCATATTTCTGGGAATCTGAGTCCAACTGATCTTAGTATTCTGTATGACACCGTAAATGTAACAAAACAATTTGGTTTCAAACCAAAGAATAAGAAGCTGCTTCCATTATTTGAAAATGTTAAAAGTTTTGAAATATCAAAATTTACATCGCACAGGCAAAAGCTTGTAAAATTAGGAATGGCATTGACTCAAAATGATGTAGTAACTCTTGATGGTTCATTTAACACCCAACAAAAGAAATATGAAGACAGTTGGCATTTGATAAATGATCTGGAGCACAGAACAGTAATTTGTGAAGGAAAAATGGAGACATTTGTTAAAAAGTTGAGTGAATTCCAACTCCTTTCAGCCGTGAAAGCTCTTACTGAAGGTAAGACAAATAATGGACTGACCAGGGTTTAATTAGATCAATCCCTGGTTAGTGAGGAGGCGTATCCCCATGCTGCGGTTTGGGTGCTGGCTTGTCTTGGAACTTTCTTCTTTATTTTATTATTGTTTTACATTTTCAAACAACGTATAGAGACTTTTTTGTATTTTGGGCTTTACAGTATAAACCCTTAACCATTTTACTTGTAGTAAACTACAGACTAACATAAAAAATATACAGATTTTCTTCATACAGTGAACTTCTTCATGGTTGTTGAATGACAATTTTTTTCAACTGTTCCACTCAAAAACACAAAATAATTTCCTACAGAGATTTTATTTTAGTAAGTAAGAAACCAGCATTTTTTACATTACTGCTTGAAAATTTGCTAGCCATACCCATAGAGATTAATGGTATTTCACACTGCAGTTGTGATGACCTGGAATGGCCTATGGCACAATATCCTGCCCAACACTTATCATTCAAAAAGTTAGCTGATAAATATTTTTATTCAGTCTTAGACTAATCATTTATTGTAATTTTAATTACAGGCACTGGAAATGTATCTTCAAACTCGGGACAAACAAGTGGTGACGGTAGTAAATGATACATTTACAGATGTTAATGTATTCTGAATATCAGGTCAAAGTTCAAATCTGAAATAAGTCAGTATTTGTAACATGAACTTCAACCTGATATCCAGAATACATGAAAATCTGTTTATTTTTAATAATCAGTTCACACATAAGGAGTTGAGAAACAGAGTTTATACTTTTTACTCACAATGATAATATCTACATTTTTGCTCTAACTAGATTTGAACTCGTCACTGAGGATGAGTTTGTTGATCCGCTTGTCAGGCAAAATAAATCTAACAGCGCTTAAAAGTGAAATATGGAAAAATATTGTAGCCAGGATTTTCATACTGTGAAGGAAAATATCAAGTCATGCCGCTCTCTCGGGTCGTCAAAAAATTTAAGTAAAGAAAGAATTGCTTGAGATTTTAGAAAAACATTCTGTACTAGCAATAAAGCTCTAAATGCAAATACGGTTCTCTTCTTTTATTCCCCCAAATTTTCACTTTAGACGGACATGTTCTATAAATTTCCAATTTCTGATTTACTGAAATCATTAACAAAAAATAATTAAATACAATCAAAATTAACAACAGTATTCATATAAAGCAACATACAGGTACAAACAAATACAAATCATTACTAATATAGCCTGTCATAAACACAGATTGACAGTCAACAATAAAGCCTAGATAATTTCACCATCCTGATATATGCATAAATAACTATGATCCATTCTAATACACACTGACGACTAAAGCTAGACAAAATTAAACAGCAAAAATAAGAATAATATCAATAAAACTCACCATAAGGTTGAGCTTCCTTCATTTTACTAGCATATACTCTAATAGTACCACTGTACTACCTACTGTAGGTGTGCTCTGCACTGTGTTAATAACTGAACTGAACTGGTAATGAAACAAAGAATGGCTAACAAAAAGAGTACAGGTAGAACAAAAAAAAACTGGTCAAGTTAACAGCTCAAGAAATTTTTCACAAATAAGGCAGAAACTAAATAATCAACATTACATACTCGCCCCAGATTGTGGACACCACAATACAATCCTAAATTAATTGCAAATTTAAGTTTCATGCTTGTTGCAATATCCAATAATCGTAGAAATAATATAAGAAAATAATGATCACCACTATCAATTTCCCTTTTAATTTTTTTTTTCTCTTTAGTTTGTTTTACAGTTAAAAAAAAAAAAAAGTTTAGTTAAACTAAAGTTCAGTATAAACTGCCCAATAATATTAACTTGCTATTTTCTAGGCTCATCTCCCTAAAACAATAAACATAATCTTGTCCACTGGTCTTAAAAGTGTGTTTATTTGCGTCTTGACTCTCACTCTGCGCACAAAACTGTCTTTGTTTGAAAAAACTTGAATTATTTTCCCAAGTGGCCATGTATTTCTGGGAGTGTTCTCATTTAAAACCAAAACTATATCACCAACCCTGGCGTTTCGCTTAGGCTCCAACCAACGCTGACATTTCTGAAGTGTCGGCAAATACTCACGAGTCCATCTTTTCCAAAATGTGTCTGCAAGATATTGAACTTTTCGCCATCGTCTACAATGGTACGATATGTTTTTCTCATCAACCAATGGAGGTAAGTTTTTGCTACTCTTCAGTTGCAGAAGATGATTAGGAGACAAAGGCTCAAGATCATTTGGATCTTCTTGTGATTTAGTTATTGGTCTTCCATTTATGATTGCTTCAACTTCGCACATAAATGTTACAAGTGTGTCATGTGTTAAACTCTGTTCTCTCACAAGGGAGCACATTATCTTACGAATACTTCTGATCTGTCTCTCCCATATGCCTCCGTGGTGGGATCCCGACGGAGGATTAAAGACCCAATCAATGCCTCGTTGGAGTAGGCTGTCATGAATATTTGATTGATTCCATTTTTGAATTTCTTGCTTCATCTCCCTTTGAGCTCCAACTATATTGGTACCATTGTCGGAACGTACTAGCTTCACAGGTCCAGGGCGTGAGACAAATCGTCGAATAGCATTTACACATGCGTCTATGTCCAATGAATCGGCTACTTCCAAGTGTATAGCTTTACATGCCATGCATGCAAAAACAACACCATACTTCACCGAACTTCTTCCTTGCTTCACTTCAAGCGGGCCGAAGTAGTCCATACCAGCGTTAGTCAATGGTGCTTCACCATATTCTAGTCGGTCCTCGGGAAGGTTTGCCATTTTTTGCAGCATAACTTTACCAAACCGTTGCCTACACTCAACACACCGGTTCACTATTTTACGAGCCATAGAATTAGAAGCGAGTATCCAGAATTTTTCTCTCAACAGTGATAACATATAGTTTCTGACTGCTCTCTGATGACATGAACTCGATTGGCAACAAATGTGTGGAATCTAGCACTTTCATTTGATATGTATCTCAAAACTGCGGTGCTGTCAGACCAATAATATACACAGTCAACATTCAACTCCATTTCACGTTGCATCATGGCACTAATCTTAACCGCTATATGGGCTGCAGTTAATTCCATCCTTGGGACAGTTATTTTCTTGAGCGGTGCCACTCTAGACTTTCATAGTAGAAATGAACAATGTACATCATGATCCTCGTTGACCTGACGCACCCACACGCCCTTTCACTGGAATCAGCAAATACGTGGAGTTGTTTATTTACAACCTTTCCAAACTCTGCAGACTGATAACATCTGGGTATGGTCAAATGTTTAAGAAGATTTAATTGCTCGCACCAACTTCTCCAGAGGTGAAGCTGATCTTCATTTATCTCTTTATCCCAGCCCTTCTTTAATCTACATAATTCTTGAAGAATGATTTTGGCTATAATGATGAATGGGGAGGCAAATCCCAGTGGATCATATATTGAACAAACACTAGACAGAATTACTCTTCTGGTGGCTTCTTTCTTAAAGTTGCCTAACTTGAATCCAAAGGTATCGTGTTGTACATTCCACTGAATGCCGAGGGCTCTCTCCACCTGGCTACTATTCAAATTAGAGTCAAGGTAGAAAAAAAAAAAACTGGTCAAGTTAACAGCTCAAGAAATTTTTCACAAATAAGGCAGAAACTAAATAGTGGACATTACACATTCATTTTCACCATGATGATGTCATCAAAGTGAAAAATGATTGAAACATAATTATGTGAAAGGAATTTTTCTCAGCTATACTTACAGGTACTGTTAGAGAGAATAAGCGAGATACGTACAAATAAGTATAATAATAACGTCATAAATAAAAATTCATTTAAAAAAAAATTCAGATGGCAATTTTCCCTTCATATGTAATCAATCTGATAGCGTTGAAATACAGTCTGCCACCCTCTGTCGTCAATGATTTTTTTGACAAATTTGAAAAAGAAGAGATGAGAGGGCTTCAAGAATTCATTCTACTTGACCATGATTATGTCAAAATGAAAAGTAAAGGGACACTTCCGAAAGAGAATTGTCTCAGCTATAACGTACAGGTGGAAGACAACCAATCAAGAATAAACGAGATACGTTCTTCAAATGAGTAGAAAAATAATGACGTCATGAATAAAAATTAGTCATCCTAAAGAACTGATTAAAAATAAGCATTATTTTAAGCATGCTGTATATAAATGTTGATGCTTATATACGTGCAAACAGAAAATTAGAGGTACCTGACATTCAACCTTTTCCTGAAGTGTATACCCATTAAATATGATTTCCAACTTAGAGCATGTTATAGCTAAGACAATTCTCTTTTATAATTGTGACTTCTTTTTACATTTTGATGACATCATCATGGTGAAAATGAATGTTTTTTTCTCACCTCTCTCATCTTTTTTCCCCTCATCTTGACGATTCTCATAACCAATTGGCATTTTTAAATCATATTCAGTGGGTATAAAATTCAGGTCATTGTTAAATGTGCCTTAATTTTCAGTGCTTGCATCAATTTTTTTAGATGCTCAAAATCGTGCCTATTTTTAATCTGTTATAGCTCCTAAGGATGAAAGTTAACCCCCAATTTTTATTACATATTCTAAAAGCACATGAGTTGTAGATATGATTTTCTAGATCATTTTGGTTGATTGGACTATGTTTCAACGCTATGAAGGGAAAATTTTAAATGACACTTGACAAGGTTCAATTTCGTGTGCCATGACGTGCGTGTATTCCCAAATTTAAATTCTTTTTCAGTCATTTTATGGCCAATAACATTGCCATACGCACCTATCAAATATACGAATCCGCGTATGCGTCTTTGTCATGCAGTGAAAATATGTTACAATCATGCCTATCTTTCATCAGTTTTAGCTCCTTAGCATGCATGGTGACCCCAAAGGAATTATTACATATTCTGAAAGCACATGAGTTTTAGATATGACTTTAACCTCTTGGGTCCCAGTGGCCTCATCTAAAGCCCATTTTACACGGAGCAATACTGCTTGCATGGGCAATCACTATATATCAACTTTTGACAGAATCAGTTGCCTTGCACTCCAATTTACACGGGGCAATATTAGTGCTTGCAAGTTTCTGGAATGTGACCTGGTCATGATAGGATAATGATAATACATTGGTATTCTGTAGAAAGAAGACATGTTATACTCAATTTGTCAAAATGAAGCACTTTTGATGTTCCATTATCTACATTACATGTCTATCTATTATATTACAGTATATTAAGAAGTACCAATTTTATATAATGCATTTTACTCTAGAAAAAGAAAATCAGAGTGTTGGTTTATGGCAATAGTTCATTAATCTATAGCTGCATATAGTTATCGTCACACAGGAAAACATTATGAACAATAAAATTGGATCAATATAAGTAAACATCTGGATATATATGTTTTTTTTAATAAGAATAAACCTATCTATCCCTGATTTTAACTCTCAAATTTGAGTAAACTGATGGAAAAGATATTAAAATTCCAGAGTAGATCTCTTGGGAGAGAAACTCTCCTGAAAAAGTTTGCACCGGTTCAATTTTTTATAGTCCTTGCTTGGGTAATAAACTGTCAATCATGTACCTCAGTTTCAGAGCAATTTACCCAATTTACACGGAGCAATTTCATTTCTAGCAATTTGACCGGTCATATTGCTAGCAAGAATTACTCCGTGTAAATTGGGCTTAAGGACATTTCTTTGTTTCAAGGTCATCTTGTTATTATTAATACTAGCTGGCTAGCACTACTATCCGATGTTCCACAAAAGGTGTCTGCTGCCCTCTCCAGTTGGATTTTCCATATTGCCAATAACAACACTGTCTGATGTTCCAGAAAATGTGTCTGCTGCCCTTTCTAGTAAATTGCTCAAAATTACTTTAAAAAAAAAAAAAAATAAATAAATTAGAGCATGTTTTATGCCATTTTTAGCATTTTAAAATTTTCCAATCCGCACCGCGCGCTCTTGCTGGGCGTCAGAGGGCAGCGGATCGCCTAACTCGTCCTCAATGACGAGTTCAAATCTAGTTATAAATGTAGTAGTATGACATATTCATTACATGTTTAATTTTAACTTTATTACTTATCAGATATGGCCCTCTGAAATAGCGAAAATCAATTTTCGCATAGTGGTTTGGGGAATTTTTGAGAGCATATAAGATTCTAATAAGATATGCTACCCAAATTTGAATGGTATTTCTTGAAAAAGGGACCAAATATCTGTCTAAGTAACAATTTTCAACTTTTTATCTTCGTTATTTCAGAAGATATAGCTTTGTAAAAACCATACAAATTTAAAGGAGCCATTCCTGGAATGAAAAAGGGGGCGTGGTACCAACATTTTAAAAGGTCATAACAAAAACAGCTTGGAAATTGAAACTGAAATTTTGGATTCTTTCTATTAACATAACAAGGTATTTTTAGAATTTTTTAAAGGAAAGGTGTCACAGACGTACTTTTAAATTTCTGGCCGATTTGAGCCAGAATGACCCTATGAAAATTTTTTTATTCGTGCTTCAGTCTCATTTTATTGTTCAGTGACAGATTTTGTTGAGAATTATATACAAAAAAAACTAGGTTCTACCAAAATGATCAATATCCACTCTCACTAAAATGCCAATATCTCGGAACGACTTTGACCTATGAAGTTTCAACTTTTGTTCATATGAATAATTGGGAAATATTTGATAAAAATACCTAACCATGATGGAGTTGAGTTATATTTCTGGAATTTGTGTCATATAGAGTTCTGATACATATATTCCTGTTGTGCAAGTTTCAAAACCACATGGTCCCTGGCACGGCGGTTTCATACGCACTATATTGAGACAATAAGTGTTTTCAACGCGCCTTTCATATATTTACGCACCGCAAGCCTCGAACACACTCATGTCACGATTGGGATCGTGCGAGCCTAGCGGAACTGCATTTTTTGGTACATAGTAGAATTGTGCTAAAAATAATACACGAGTATAATATCCCCCCATTCATGTTCTGTTTGTCTAATTATTATATCAGCTACTAAACAAAATTTTTGCAATGCATGAATTTATATAAAAATCATGAATTTTAACGAGAAAAGTAAGGCCAGTCTACAGTAAAAATGTAAACAAACAACGCCCTAACTCCGTAAATGTTAATATCGCTAAACATGGTCGTAATTATCGTCGTTTTACAAAATTGTGCAATTTTTCTGGATGTTATCATTGGTCGCCAATGAACAATCAGTGTCTGTTCTTGTATATTTTGTGAAATATTGGCCTGACAACTTCTTCCGATTTTTAAAAATTTTCGATTGAAAACAGCAAATATTTTGGCTTTACTAGGCGTTCTTTACAACTCCACGGGCTCATACGCACAATTTTACGCGTTGTTTATACATGCGCTAGGCCTAGATTGAGGCCTAGATTTTATTGGGGTTTTGGATAGGCTTTGCTGCATTAATGTTGTTAAAATTATAATTGTATATATTATTTTTATTTAGCTAATATATGATAAATACAGGCTTGCATTGAATAACATTTTATATTTTGATGGCAATAATTAGGATGGCTCTAAAATAAAGAAAATTTAAAATATGAATAAATGTAAGCAATGATTCAATATTCATCTGTGAAAATAGCCAGTATCATTTACAATCATCATTCTTCTTGCACCTCAGTTTACAAATAGACACAAACATTATGTTCTACATGTTATATTTTTAATGAACAAAATAAACCTTTAAAAAATACAAGAATCCAAATTAAACCGAAAGGTCCGCTGATTAATCTCAGATACAGATAGAATTATACATACTCAAAGTATAGGGATTCAATACTTTGATATTAATTATGTCATCATCAGGAATCCAAATTAAA